ATTAAATTTGTCCAACATTAGTAATTTGCACCGAGAAAAGATACAAGAAAACATTAACAGTTAGCTCCTACGTCTGGGGTGGTTGTATTGACGTTGAATCCAAACTTTACATGGACGAAGAAGAGTCTGAGGACATGGAAGAGCTTGCCGAGTTCGAGTTGGTTGAGCTCGATGAGCTGTACGATGTAGAAGAGTTGCTGCTCGTAGACGAGCCGGTGGCCGTGGACACCATGCTTGTGACCCTCGAGAGCGTAAGGTCCTTGGGGTTGGGGCTGAAGATCAGCAGCATAGCCACGGCGGGGAATATTTCGACCAAGAGCAAGAACAAGACAGCGTATGAGTTCTCCCACTCGGACGCTGCCAAGGCCAGGAGCAAGATGGCGTGCATGAAGAAGGCAAATGAACAGATGGCACCAACGCAGAAGATCTGATGGAAAGAATGTGTCAGCAGCCCACCATTCTAGGAGCGCTTAGCCGTGCTGTCACGCGAACCTTCCAGTTGGAGTTTCCTCCCTTCGCCTTGCCCAAGATCACCAGCTTATAGTGAAGTCCGCCTCCCGCAATCAAGAACAAGAGTGCCATGATAATGGAAACTGAGGCCACCATGACCTTGTAAACGATCGACAGCGTGAACTGGGCGTCAGACAAACCAGTCGTATCCTATACACGCCACGCAAGATGTGAGACCAGATGCAATCGAGACGAGAAGTGAGGGACTCGATCTGCACCTTTCGGGCAACACGGCCCAAGCAGGAATCGGTGACAGAATCCTTGGGCAGTTCCTCGAACAAGATGATCAAAGTCATGAACAGGAGGTAGAGGATGATGTTGAAGATGAACCAGCTGACGAGCAGCGCTGTCGCTTCCTTCTCGTGACCGGGACCTCTCGAACGCACCAGAACGCTCCTGTGGCCAGGCCGCAAGGGAGTTAGAAGTGAAACTTGACTTATGACCTAACGAGCGACAAGTCGTACCCGATCATGTAGGCGATCCACGAGAACGCCGAAATGTATACGAACGTAGGCAACTGCAGCAGCACATAGTCCGCCACCGACGAAGCATCGGTGATGTCGCCGCCGAGGATCAGGCAGAAATAGA